TATCTTTACAACTGGTCCATGCCTTTCAAGTACACTACTCAAAACTGAACACTGTTCTCCAGTTTACCAATGCAAAACAGAAGCTTCAATTCACAGATCTCTGCTGTTTCCCTGTTTAAGAATGTTACTATAGTTGCCTGCCTCCCAACAGTATGAAACTGCTGAGTTTTGTCATCTTTTGATCTGTCATTACCCCAGAACTTCTCCTACAGAACAAATCCATTGCAATATATCACCCACATGATCGTGTCTTCCACTGTTTCTCCTCAATTAAATGGAGCACCTTGCATTTGYTCCTATTGAACAATTTTTTCACACTTTGTCTCCAATATGTCAGGACTATTTTGAGCTGTCTTTCAACAAGACTTGACTTGCTACCTTTTGGATTTTTTCTTTTTCTTAACACAGAATAAAAATACTAAGAAAACTTCCATGTATACCTGAAAATCTTGGAAATCTAAAATGTTGCAGGCAATTCTATCTTTGAAACAATACTAAACGTTCATTCAAAACCATCAACTTTATACTGCCTTCTCTGCTGGAGTTCAGTCTTCTGTCAAACTCTTACATTTTGCCAGCTATTAGCTTCCCAAAGTTCTCAGAATAAGTAGGAAGCAGGCATCCATGAAAATGCAAATTTTCCATGGCCACTGCTCCCAAAGGAATGATGCTTTAAATTTGTACTTCACTTTTTTTTAATGCATGAGAACTACATAAAGCATTCAAAAATCTAAATTAGCATGTCTACATTGTACACTGTGTTAGAGAAAAATAAACCAAAGCAGTTGTTAGCTGGGTACTAACAAAAATATGAAAAAAAACTTAGTACTCACTGAGTATGAGACTGAACAGTGCATAACATCAGCTTAAGTGTAACTCAAACATTATTTTAAATAAGGCTGAGACTAGAATCCAGGAGCACAAGTGCACAGTTAAAAAGTACAATTTAAAAAAAAGACTGAAGTGGTGAAAGCAGTAACAGACGTCCATTATATCCCTGTGCATATATAGATATATATACACACACTCCAGGAGTGCCTACAGGCACAGCAAGTATGTAGGCAAGTAAGTATCTAAAAGATAAGAATGAGATAGAGTGGAAGTAAATCCCTTTGGAATGATAAAAGACTTGTTTGCAATATAGAAATAAAAATCAGAGTTAATAATGAAATTTTAGCTATTAATCTAAATCTCCAGATTTCTGCATTTCCAGCAGTCCCTTAATGTTGTGCTTTATGTACATGCAGACATACTGGGCCCAATTCTAAGTTATATTACATACAGTTTATCCTGCTTTTTTATTATAAAGGAATAAAAATACCACAYGAATAGATAATTTCTGAAATCAATAATGTTTGTATAAAGCTTTGTTTCTTAGACTAGTCAGTGGGTATATAATCATTTTTCTGTGCTATTGAAATTCCCTACTTCCTCAGTCCAGAGGGGAGCATGATCATAGCTGTGGGGAAGGACTGCAGAGGAACAGAGAAAAAGGAACATAACTTTTGTGAACCACAGATATTTTTGAGACCCTCATCCCTCAATGTAACAGTGACAAATTGGGTTTCTAAGCCTGTCTACATTCTTGTCTTTTAATAGAGTCCTTAAGTTTCATTCAAATAAAAGAAGCTGGGAATCACCAGTATTTCCATTCATGCTTATTTATATCATACTTAAAATATAAAGAATTATGGAGATGAGAAAGAAGAAAATGTTGGAACATCAAAGCAGTTTGCATTGCAAATTATCTGAAGGGTAACATATCATTTCAAACCAAGAGAGATATAGCAGCTCTGGCTGGAAGTTTTCTGATCTTCAAATCCTACTTCAGAAAACTTCACAAACGGAAACCAATTGAATCAGTGCCAGGACACATTTAGTTTTTCAAAGATGAACAGAAAATCCATTCTTTCTTATGGCTTACCAGAGAAAGCAGCTCAGAAGATTTCAACACATTTTCTAGTTCACACAATTTACTTTAGCTACTAACTAAAACTTTATCTTATTTAAATATAATAATTGTACCGTGATCTCAAACAATGTAACTATTTGACTTCATTTAATTCTGCTCTAGGATAAAGAGGACATTGATCTATTGTGTGGCAATAATTTCACAGAAAAATATGAAAATGCATCACGAAAGCCTGATTCAATATACTTCAGAACTCATATGGCAAAGGCAGTAAATTTTCCCTACACCGTAAGAAGTGTCAGGTAATACTCTATTGAACAGTGAGGTTCATTACCTATTGCATACAGACACACACTTGGCCAAGTCCACTGTTTCAGTATATGAAACAGTGACACGTAGCCCCATTCAGAAATGACTGATGCTTCCATATTTATAAAAACCCATTGTATAGTAGTAGAGTTGCCCAATATAGTAGCACAAAGAGAAGTCCATTTGCTTTGGACTCCACAACCAAATTCTTATCTCTAAATTTCCCTTTCAACCAGACCAGCTGTTACCTTGCTCTATGTAATATAGGCCACTTTTTAAAGGGTTATGAGCTCTCTTGTGGAAGAACAGTGAAGTGACACAAGGTCTGCTTTTCTATTGCACAATGCTCCAGCCTGCTGCAGATCCCCAGATTCTTAGATGCCTATTCAATTCCTCTCCTCATTTTAGAAATAGTAGGGATTTCTTTTTTTTTCTACGTGAAAACTGGCACTGCATTGTGACTACACTGTGTGTGACCCTGATGGCACTTGTTGATCTTGATTAGAGGTATAGACAAGGGTCAGTGTTAACTTTAAGTAACATATAAGAACCATACCAAACAGGGGTGGGTGGGGGTGTGTGTGTGTGTGTGTGTGTGTGTGTGTGTGTATGTGTGTATGTGTACATCTGGGGAGAAATCTATGGCATGTAATTTTAAGGTTTAAAAAGGATTTAGGTTTATGGTTACTAGAATGGAGATGTTATAGCAATCCCTGTACAGCAGTCACAGTCTTTTTCTCAAATATTAAGGTAAGAAATACTAAAAATCAGAAATGTGCAAGAATGTCATCCTATCAAAATGACTGCCTTGAAAGACAATTATCATACAGCTTAAGGTCTCTAGTCACCTTTCACAAGGGAAAATGATATATTCGTCTCCATAATAKATCTCCCACTTACCAGATTAATATCTTATTTAACTTCACTGTCACTTATCCTTCTGTTCCCTTACAATTCCTCAAAGGTATTAAAAAGAAATAGATTCACAATGAAAAAGAAAACATGCATTCAGAAACACCATGAAACATAAGGAAAAATCTCTAAGAGTACTCAGTAGAAAGCAGCACATGAGTGGATCAATTTGCACCATGTAGCTTGACATGTCCTAAGAGACATGGAACTTCTGCAATATTTGAAAATTGCCAATAGTTACTGTCAGGAGGCGCTACTTACCACAATACAGAACCAGGGAATTTTGACAAACATTAGAAGATTACAAAGATACGACAATATATATAGCTGAATTTACTCTCATATAAAAATACATGCACACACCTAACCATTAATAGATGGGCAGACAGCTGCCTCATTTCACCAACACACTCACCCCCAAGTACTTGGCAGTTAGACATCCTCAAGACTCAGGATCTCTAGATTGTATTTAATGCTGAGTGAAAACACATCTCTGAAAACCTCCGGAGTTGGACATACATCACTTATTTTACCTGCCTACTTCTCTCTRCTGAGAAGCTTAGTACTTTCTACTTACTTATATGTAAGAAACTGAGACAAAACATCAGCTATTTGTTCTGTTGGGATCCAGYCCACTCCTTTTAAGGCCAAGGCATCCAACCTCAACATATTTGAAACGAGGCAGATGACAGCAGTGGCAACGCCMATGACATCTGTTCCCTTCTCTACACACCACAGCAATCCTCTTCACGCTTTCTGTGTGACTTCTGAGATGTCTGCCCAGTAGCCAAAGAAGCTGAAGAGGTAATCACACTCCTAACTGCCCAGCCGAGCCTCATCTAAACAAAGGCAATGCCTAAGTACTTGGTGGTGAGATAGGCACCCTGTCATACCGTCATTCAGATTGKAAAGGACCTTAAGGAGGTCTCCAGCCCAAAGTCCTGCTCAAAGCAGGGATAAGACCAACTTCAGATCACATACAATGWCTCACTATGCACCTAGATTTCCAAGCTGAAAAAAACATCAGCAGCATCTTATAATGGTTTCTGAATCTGAAATGATTTAGCTTTAATTTTAGTTAGCAATGGTTACAATTCTTAAAAAATGAGTGGTATGTTCAACAGCATGTTTTTCCACAAACCATTACTTCAAGTTTAAACAAAGATTTAACTCTAAAGAATACTAGAATCCATGGAACATTCTCAATTATACTTCTTTACATAAAAGGAAACTAAAGACAAAAGCATGTACTTCAAAAATACATGAAGTGTATAAGGTATATAAAATAGATGTAACCTTTAAATGCATATATAAAATAGATGTAACTTTTAAGTGCATATATAAAATAGATGTAACTTTTAAGTACATGCTTTGAAGCGTGTTTGTTTAAATGCAAATGATGAAACAAAGTGGGAAAAGCAATTAGTGTTAGGCTACACATTCGGGAAAGAAGGCTTACATTCCTGCAACAAGAACTGCTCACAAGTGTTTCACAAAAAAAAAAAAAAAAAATTAAAAACTGATTCTCAAGCAACCCTGAAGCAATCCCTCTAGAGGAAGAATTTATAGTCACTAGGCTACAAAGGCAGGCATCTTTCTTTCCATCAGTGCTTCTTGAATTCCCTTCTACACTGTAAATTAGCACTGCGAGGAGTGTTAAAAGTGCACACGTCTCACATTAGCCTCTGACATGGTGTTTATGGCTCCTCTTTGGACTGGCAGGCCATACAGTTTGATTGTGTACTAGCTGAGAAGGGGCTAAAACCAACCCGTTGCTCAGACTGTTCAGAGGRAACAACTATTTTCTCAAAGATGAAACTCATAAAAAGTATGAACAAGTTTGGAAACAAAAAACAGAAAGCTTTACCTTGAAAAGCAGCTGCATTACGAGATATTAAAAATTTTAATGTAGCACTTGATGTTTGAAGTACTTGCTGTATATCTTGCTTGGCTGCAGTCTGATACCTTTCTTCCATCCTTTTGGTACAGCATGTTGGACTTTTAGAAGTACAAACCTGGAGATCAACACCTAAGGAAAAGGCAATTACATTGATTAATAAAAACCAGGAGCAGGCAAAACACAAAAACCTAGAGAACAGCTACCTTTTTTTTTTTTTTTTAAACATGGGTATTGATATATAAAAGAAATAGCTAAAACTTTAAAACATTTATTCTTGTTAAACAGAAGGGGATACCAATTTAAAAATTCTATGGGAAGAGTACACTTATTACAGTTAATTAAGGCCATGCAGTATAATTTCTCTGACATTGTAGTCTTGCTCCAGCTGTGAATATTGCTAACCAATGTTGGCAAAATATGCTGAATATRCATCGTACATCACGATGCAGGYGGTAGGTGTCCARTCCCTGGAAACAYTCGGAATATGGTCAGATGGAGCTCTGGGCAACCTGATGTAGTTGAAGATGTTGCTACTCATTGCAGGGACAATACCCTAGATGACCTTTAGAGGTCCCTTCCAACACAAACTATTCTGTGATTATATGATCCTCTAGAATACTGAACTGCTGGACCAGCTCACGGTGGGTACTCTTGTGCTTCTGTAAATCTCGGACTCAGACTAGGAAAAGTGAACTACTTCCAAACATTACACAGTGCAAAGCCCATTCCTGACAGGTTCATAATGAATATGCTTATATTAACTTTTACATGCAGCAGTTCTAACTTCCTTTCTAATCTCCCTTACTGTGTCTTTCTCTACTGTCAAACACTCACATGAATCCAAGACACCAACTCCCTACTTCCCTAATAGCTTGAGAAACATTTCTACAAAAAAAGTACTTTTAAAAATTTTGGGCACACTGAAATCTTAGAATGGCAATTCAGTACTTTAATAACTTCACGAATGGCGCATAATCAAGCGTAAAAAGCATTGCTCATCTTCCTTGTTATCATGTGGTATTCAAAATCTTTTTTTTTTAATACTGTATCTAAAAAATGCTTTCTAATATAAGGAACAAACATATAAAAGAATAAATATGAGAATTGAAATTATATTCATACAAAATTTAACAATCCAATCCAAATTCTCTTCTCAAATATGTTGTTTTATTGACAGATACAACAAGATTTCTAAGAAACATAATGACAAACTTTTTTTAATCAGCCCTGTGGACAAAATTCTAATCCTGCAGTTGTATAAACATAATTCCTTCTCCATAGTAGGTATAAAAAAGAAGATTATGATTGGAAGAAAAAAGTAAGAAATTAAAAAGTCAACTTAAATCCATATTGCTTGTGACTCTGTAGCCGTGTTCAGCTCTCACACCACCTCTTAGTACCTAAACTTTTAGTTTTCTACCACTAAACCTGCAAGATTTAACATTCCTTTTAAATAATTTTTCCCATTTTTTTCTCTAGCAAATCATTCTAAGACAGTATGAATAAARCTATGGGGAAATGGAGGCTTTACATATTTTGCATCCTAAATATTAATTCTTATGTAAATTGGGTGTTTTAAATAATATAGTCCAGAAAGTTAAGAAAGAAAAAGTTAAGCTACTGACAGCTGGACTGAAGCATTGTGGAAGAATGGTGAAATGTTTAAATATGTCATAGCAAACTCATGTCCCTTTATCCATGTTGGTCGAAGCAACTCAGCTGCACAGTGAGAAAAAGATTTATTATTTACATACAGCAATCCCAATCCTAAAGCAGCAACCCCCTGCTTTATTTAGACAGGAAGAAAGAACACAGAAGACTCCTTAGAAATCACATTTAGAAAAGTATGAGACAAGCATGAAACAGGTTATGTATGGGCTATTAAGAAAAATGGAGTTATCAGAATCCTGAATGAATACTCATCTTTACAATACTATATAGAGGTAATCAATTCCCATGAAAAATAAACAAATTTCCCTTGCAAATTGCAGATAATATTGTCTTCTATTTCCTGAATATTTCTTTCTAGCATCAGTGGTTTCCATCTTCACAATTAATGGTCCTTCCATTATAAAGCAGATGTGGAAAGAAGGGTATGTTTGAACCTTCAGTATTTAAGACTACAGAATTTCTCTCAGTTTTTAAAGTTTATTTTCTGTTTCATGCTTAAGGTCATATGATGCTTCCAGGCAAAAGTAACTCATTTTAGTGAGGAGTGCTGCTCAGGAATTAATGTATTTATGAAGACAGAAGTTTGGCTCTCTATACACAAGAACAGTCTACTGTCYATGATAAAAATGTATGCCTTGAAGTAAATCCATTTTGGAGACATTAGCAGCAGCTTAAGATAATGGAATCCTTATGATAAAGGAAAAGCAGTAGGTACTTTTAGAAATCCTAATACAGAATTTACAAGTCCGACATTGCCTTCACAGTGGCGTGCAAAAGTTAGGAACTTAAACACCAGATGTGAAAATTAACTGAAGCAAGTGGCACCCCTGTAAATCCCTTTGAGTGGTTTCCAGTAGCAGTTTAACACAAAGGGACAGGTATACCCATAAGCCACAATGCAGGAAGCTGAACATCTTCACTATCATAACAGAAAGGAATGAATCACAGAAATTCTGAGAGTAAGAAACTCTGGGTTTTAAGTGTTACATTATTATTGCTACAAGGGATCTTTTTTCCTTGCATAGCTTAATGTTTTTGAAGGCTATTTATCCTCATCATTTATTTAAAAATGTAATTTCTACTTTCTTCAGTATGCACATTTTTACAATTAACAAAGAAATTTATCCCATCTGGCTGCTTTTACAAATCTCCTGCCATGTGAAAATGTTAATATAGCATCCTCTGCCAATCCAATTGAAGCAAAAAATGAAAACAAAGCTGCAAAAAATAAGCTGGTCTATTAAACTACCTATTTATTAGCTACTTTAGTATTTACGTCATGCCTGCCAAAGAAAGTCCTTTGTGTCAGAGTCAGCCTTTAATAAAGGTACTGCCTCTAAGCAACAGGAGGTAATGAGCATCTTAAAATTATTTTCATTATGAGTATTAAAAATCCACTTCATCAGTGCTCTACAACCTTAGAAGCCACATAAYTACCTATAGAGAATCACAGTCACTGCTATCTCCACTACATGCCTCACACTTCCCTGAGCCAGTTTTCAGTCCTCTGAKTCCACTGACTCCAACCTCCCAGTCCTTGACAGCTCTCCAAACTGAGGCACTTGCACTGTTGACTATCCCTACTGCATTCCTGCATTCCCACATTCCCAGTCCTAGACACAGTACTCCCAAAGTACTCAAGATTCCTCTCATCCCACTCTTCCTCACAAAACAATGGCACACCCTACAATATTTCAAATCACAGACCAAGATAAAAAAAACAAAGCAGATGTAGAAATTGTAACATCATCAAAGAGTAATATAATTCAGATTAGCTGCTTTTGGGTACAAACTTGTCTGCAGAGGGCAATCGCTGCACTGCAACTAAAACTCCACAAAAAGCAGGGAAGGAGCAGTGGCAGGWAAGGACTGAGTCATGGGACCTAAGCAACCACTTTAGATGCTTGTAYGTGAGGGTGGTCATATCTAGAATTTAAAACAGGCAAAGCTGGAACTTGAACTACATGAAAGTTTGTTTTCTGCAACCTACATCTGTAGTTCTTATAACACTGGTTTAAAAGTTAAATCCTACCAGGGATGTGATAATGACTTTAGCATATTTTGGTTCTGGAAGAAACAGCAGGTTACTTAAGAGAATGGGTCAAGAAAACAGATTAGTAGTGCATGACTCAAATMAAGAAATCTAAGGATCTAAGAAAGCTATGCTACTAGTGCATGTTCCATGGGTGAGTTATGCTACATGTTTATAAAACACATATAACCTCAAGTGTGGTRACTCCAATGCAAAACTTGTCTAAATTTGCATTGTTTAAGGAAATAAAACATTGTGGATTTCCATTCATTTTTTTAAAGATTCTCACTCAAGAGTACATAAATTTACTAACAYATTGAATACTAATTAAATATCAGCTACTATAAATGGGAATTTTAGAATAGCATACCATCATCACTAACTCTAAGGGGTGGGTGTACAACCAAACCTTACTTACAATCAAGCCTTACTTACAGTGTGTCACATTTACAATTTACACCAGTCCAGACAATATTGCAGCAGATAAATAACAATAAATTCACTACACAAAATAACTCAGAAAAGGCTGAAAAAACTCTCAAGTGGATATATTTTGATTCCCTTATGTCACTACAATTTTTACAGTTTTACAGTGATTATGATTTATTAGAAAGACACTATACAGTTTTGTACAATACATTAGTTTGCCCAATACAAGTTCATCCTCAAACTTCAATACAGCTTTCATATGAGACCAAATACCAGCAGGAGACTTACAACTGAAGAATATAGCTAGGATGGATTTGGGAAGGGTTTTGCTTTTTTTTATAGAGTATCTAAATACAAGTAAAAAACCCTACCTCTCTGCCATCTATATAAGATGACCTACCTTAACCTCTAAATCTTAGCAGATAATAATTACAGAAAAATGTCCTCCCTCTGCTTGGAATTGAAAATGTGAGAAAACTTGGCAAAGTGTTATTATCACATTGTCTGAAATACAAATAACATTGTGTTGCCTACAGCAGCATTTTAGACAATGGTATTGTTATATAACAAACCATAACTTTATAATGAGAAGTGTGTAGCTGACTTGTCAAGCCAAGCAAAAATTRGAACTTTTGAATACTACTATTCCCTATTCTCCTACTAACTTGACATGTATCTTCTCCACAAGTAAAGAGTAACTTCATTTTTCAGAGGCAATGATCTCCTTTTTCCCCATGAGCTTCAGTAAAGTGGATCTTGCACAAACTCCTTGTGCCATTTTTCCCATATGCGTGACCTTTCAACTTCTACATTTTTTATTAAAAAAAAATACACAGAGTAACTGCTCACATGCAGTTCCCCGTGTACACAGGCACAGACATGCATAATACTTGTCCAGTATTAAAATCAAATAACCTAAAGATTAGGTCTATTACCCAAACTCCTTATAGTATTTTAAACAATTGTTAGGCACTGCTTAGAATTCAAGCCTTTGGCT